CAGGGCCCTCTGGCATCCCAAGCGAGTTCTTAACCATCGCGCCACTCGGCCGGCCCGAGAACTTTTCATTTTTAGCCTGTATTAGCAAAGAAAAGAAAATTAACAATGGAAAGCAAAATTTTTCACAATTATTAGACAAATGAGAAGATGAGTGCAGTGAAACTGCAGCATTCTAGACTAACACTGTCCAGTAGAACTATGTGACCCACAGTGTTCTGTGGCTACAGTAAAGAATGTGAAAAAATGGGTGAAATTAATAATGTTTTATTTAACCCAGTATATATAAGATATTTCAATATGTAATCAGTAGAAATTTTTATTCTTTTGTACTACTGTCTTTGAAATCTTAATGTGTATTTTATACCTACAGTGCATCTCGATTCAGATAAGCCACATTTCAGGCACCCGCTAGCCACATGTGGCTAATGGCTACCTACGTATTAGACAGCCTAGCTCTAGACTAATGACTGGTGAATTGATCATGAAGTAGATCTTATACAGAAACCTTAGTTTATGAGTCTTCAGATGACAATATCTAATACGAATTTCATCAAACTCAAAAATTGATGACTGAACAATATTTCTAATTCAACAAGAAGGACATCACATAATATTTTGAAACGAGCCTAGAAGATCCTATTTTGTTAAAGGACATGTCACAGCATTCTTTCATCTTTTATGATGTTTGTTTAACAAAATTTACTCCATAAAGCTTGTAAGTGACAAATGTTGAAGGCAGGTATGTGTATGAAGATGATGGGAAGGAATTAGATGATATTGAAATAAAAAATTAATTAGATTGATCATTCTGTTTACTTACTGTTAAGGCTAGACAATGAAAATGTTTTTCAGTGATGGAGCAAATAAGATAGATGACCTTTTCCTCATCAGCAAACTTGTGAGCCATCAATTTTTTCCAAAATGTTGCACCTTGACTATGAAAGTGCAAGAAGAACCAGAAGTAATGATAAAACTAGAACTTGTTAGAGGTGTATTTGAATCTGGAATAAGTATTTACATAATGGATTTGTTCCAGGCTCATGCATGACAGTTTGTTGCATTCAAAGAATGTTGCCTAATTCAGGTATATACCTTTAAAACCAGGAATATATGGAATACAATTTGAGTTTGCTGTGTTTAAATTCTTAGTAAAATTTCTAAAGTTATTTTTACTGTGCCCTTGTTCTTAATTCTGTAAATAATTTGTAACGTGAATTAAAAATACAGTAAAATATCAAGGGTCAGTTAGATCCAGATGGTAAATGACAATGAGTATATTTTTCCCTGATATACTGAGGATTAAAAGGAATATAATTTGAAAAGAAGACAATTTATTTTAAAAAATCTTTCACTGTGGTGTCTGAGAAATTTAAAAATTGGGCATAAATAATCATGACACTCATCTTTTTAGAATACTTTGATTTTTGCTGATTTTTCTGAAAACATTTGATTAGAAATAGTCTCCTCAAGAATAGTTCTCAAGGGATTTGTTAAAACACAAGGTCAGTTTAGTATTCTTTAGTTTTTCATATTATTCAAGATCTTTTATGATTTGCAAAATGCTCATAAATTTTATAGGAGTTCTGGTTTTAGTTTATTGTAGTTTTTGTATTCTAAGATTCTCAAACTGTATTTTCTGATAATCACAGAGTTGCGTGTCAAATTTTTTTTGACTTTGAGGTTGTACATTTATCAAATAAAATAATTTACATTTAATTGTTAAATTCCTTTATGTGTATATTTTCATCCTGAGTATATATTAAGTTTTGGTATATCTACTACTGTTTATCTAAAGTTAGTCATAAATGCCAACATTATTTGGAATTTATTAATATTTCTTAGGTGTTTGTTGTTTTTTTTCAATCTGAATAGTGCTTTTCTGGCACTTTCAGCTTTTGTGAATGATTAAGAAGGGAAAATATGTGATTTATAGGTGATTTTTATATTTAGGATATTCAGTCTTTTTCACCCGCAGATTTGGAGTTACTAAGTGTTTTTGGTTTCAATAGGATGAAGACCCGAGTTGGTAAACCCGAGGTTTAGCTCACTGCTCGCCCTTGTTAGATATTTATTGGGAACACTAATAAGTCTGTGTCCTGTTATTGATGCTAAGAAGGGAACAGAGAAGTGGAATGGGCTGCATTTTGTGAGCATGGGTGGAGGATAGAGCATTATGTCTTTTTCTAGCTCTTAGCCTCCTTACTCTTCTTACCAAGACAAAGTACGTTCTGCATAGAGAAACTGGTAGGATAACATGGTTGCTGTTTCAGCTCCAGAGAAAGAACACGTAGAGATGGAAATGGGTATGGGCAAAATACTGATTTCATCCCAAAATAAGTACCTGTGCAAGAGAATTTCTAAAGGGAGACGACTGTCACTAAACGTTAGTCTTTTGTTAATATAAAACATTTTAAAACTATTATTATATCCACTTTGTGTAAAAATGTCATTTGAAAAAGTAAAAAACAGAAGGGTGCCCTTGATTCATTGGCATGTAAAATAATAGAAAGACTTTTTAATTAGCCGCTTAAGGAAACATGAGGTGAAGGGAAAACCTACCTTATAAACCTGAATGTGACCTACCTGAAGGTTAGAACCCACTTCTGCCATATATATTTAAAAATGTTCCCTTTGTTCCTCATACTCAGTGTCGTCTTGTACCAGTATTTGAAAGTATTATTTCAATTTAAGAACGCGTATATGTGTGTGTATACTTGCTTTTTAATTTTTATTTCATTTTATTTTTAATTATGTAGACATTTATATGGTTCCAAAGTCAGAACTCTAAAAAAGGTGAATTCATTGAGTTCTCATGTTCCCTCTCCCCTTTCTCTTGTCTCCCTTATATGTAATGGAATTTATTAGATTTATCCTTCTATTGTTTCTTTGACAATATAAGCAAATACATGTGTGGTTCTTTATGTTTTCTTCCCTTTCTTACACTAACATGTATACTTTTCTGTTGTTACTTTTTTCACTTAACAGTATATCTGAGAGAGCACTTTATCATAATATATAGAGGGATTTTCCCGTTTCTCTTACGGCTGGATAGTACTCCATTTAATGGATGTCCCTCTTGATGGATTAGTGGGTTTTCTAGTGTTTTGTTACAGGTAGTGGTGCAATGAATAGCTATTTTGGAAGATCAAATTTGTTTATTTAGAACTGCCCAACCCATCATGAAACAAACCCTTTTTCATATGTCTACAATTTATCTGTTATTTGTTAAATTTAAGCAGCGTTGAAACAACAAAGTACATAGAAAAATAATCAAAAAGAGAAAGTNGTTCTTGTTTCATGTTGTGGTATCTTAACTCTGAGGATATTAATAAATTGTTGTTTTTAAGTTTCCTTCTATCTTGTGATTTTTCTCATTTGTATTATTTTTCAGTTTGTTTGGTCTCTTTTTCATATTGGAAACTTACCTCAAATGTCTCATGAGCCCTTGGCATTTTTTTTCTATTTCAAATTGAAGCATTAAAACCCTGACTGGGCAAAACAAAACTTGTCAGCTGGGGTACTTCTTTATTGGGTGGTGAGGCCATGAGTAGGCTTGAAGGTTGCCCAATTATTATTACTCATAGTTCTTTATGTGGGAACATTTAGTTTCCCCAGAGAAGGTTTCTCAAATCTGATATATGGCTATCTGTATTCTGGGGGTGGGCTTATTATTTTTTTAAAGCAGTGTTATTATTAAAGTGGTTTGGTAGCTAGTTTATTCTAACAATGTGGTCATAATTTGGTGGTGAGAAATTATTTTATCTTGGTATATTACTTATATTTTCAGGTCCTGCCAACATCTCCACATAAGGAAGGATTGAGTGCAATTTGTCTTTAAAAGCAGGTGGAGGCACTACTGTAGCTGAATTCTTTAGGCAGATTTTAAAAAGAACCCTGGATGGTTTGGATAAAATTACATGCCAGAAGAAAAGTTTCTTCGGCTTCTTTCCCTGATTCTTTAAGGCATCTTCCTTCAACTTTATTGTTATGTTGGTCTTGAAGACTGGGAATGTGATATACTGAAGCACTGAATTCATTTTAAAAATATTTCATTATAACAGTAATAGTTTTTGGAAATTTAAGAGTGATTTCCATCCATTTTAAATAAGATATTTATTATATGTCTAGAAATACACTTCTAATTTTTGTCATTAATGTGTGTCAGCATACTTTTTACCCATTCTATTTAAGAAGTACATGTTACATACATATTTACCTCATAAGCCTAGCTTAACAGTGCCATGTTTTCTTCATCAGATCGGTCAATTAAAGCTAGTGTTCCTTGGTACAGTATTTGGAAAGACACAGTGACGAAATTGAAAGAATCCTCGTTATACACAGGTATTTCCTATGGTAGTCTTATCAGTTTTCCAGATTGTTCTCACTCTACTCCTTTCCTATTATCTTTTTTTCTGCTCAGCTACTACTTTTTTGTATTTGTCCAAATTAACACATCTGCCTAATTTTTCTAAAACAGAGTCAGTCTGGTGATGCTTGTTCTACTTTATGTTATTTATCCTATCATCTATTGTATTTACTCTTGATTTACAACATTATCTGATAAATCCAGGCACTGTTTTTGAATAGTATAATTTGGGTTGCATCTTATTTCTACCAGAAGGAAAAACTGTTTTTCTCCCCCTTAAGTGTGTAGTATACTTTTTCTGATTGCTTTTATATTAATTGCTATTACTCTGTAAAATATCATGATACTTTGGAGAATAGTCATGTGTAAACAGTATTTTAGAGGATTGCTTCGATATTCTTTAACATTTTTTCCTAAAATTTTACTTAAGAGCAAAAGCATAAAGAACTCTTTTAAAAAGTGACAATTATTTAAAATGATTGTGCAAGATATAGGAAATTAGTGGGTTTTTCCTCCAGTATTTTGAAGTATTCTGCTATATTACATCATCCTGTGAATTATTTATCAATTATCAATTACTCTGAATAGAAGAAAGT